AAAGAACAGATTATGAGGTAATAATATTATTCAGATGTTCTACATAAAGAAGTGTATATATGTGTTGTGCAATAATGAATGAATCCGTTGAACAGTTGCATGTTGTATTCATTGTAAATGTTACAACTTGTAAATGTTTGTTATTTTATATAACTGAAAAAAAGTTGTATTGAATGAAACAAGCAAAGGAATTGGACTGTCGAGAAGTGTTCTACAGAAATTTGGTGATTTTTGAAAATAAAATTCGTTTATTGCTTCAAAGTATTTCATCAGTTAATTTGTCGTTGTAGTTTATGCTTGTGCACCTTTTGGAATGCTGCAAAATGTTAACACATTTATTGAAAGAAAAGAGAACAGAAAATTTTATTTTCTTCTTTTCGTTCTTATTTATCGTTTATGCTGCTTTTTGTGAAAATATGTTGAAAAAATCATTTCAACTGCTTAAAAAGACTTATTTATTTATTTTTGCTTGCTAGCATCAGCTACGATAACAGGTCGTTTGAATATGACAAATACCTGTGAACTGTTCAACCAAATATCTTCGGGGTCTTATAACCTTAATCAAGTGCTTATTAATGATTTAACATCTAGTATATCTCATAGAGAGAGAAAAGCCCAATGGTTTGCTAGTTTATCTTGAACTGTTACTTTTGAAGAAAACAGGATCGTTTTGGAACACTGCAAAGCAAATTCATCAAGTTAATTGCCGGCCTTTTTTTATGCTCCTAATAAAGTTTCAAGTTAGAACTAAAATTTGGCTCGTATACTGCAGGTATTTTTATTTTACATTTGGTTATGAGGCTATTAACCTGCTTTTTCTTTTCAAAATTTAGTGGCTTAGATGGAATATACCATATAAAACTGTCGATTAGCCTGACCATTCTTCAATCCTATCGCAGAATTTTTAGGCTACGCTTACCTATTTATACCAACGTACACATCCACTGCTTATTTTTCATCGAGTTAAAAAATATTAAAAAAAATTTGTTTTTTGGTTAAAAGACAAAAAAATCTATTTTTCCGGAATGAAGAAATTTAAGGCAGAATGAAGAAAAAAATTTTATTGAGTGAAAACTAATACATTTAGGTTTTATGCAAGAAAAAAGAGTGCAATTTTTTCATTGTTGTTATTGTTAAGCAAATTACATACCAACGCATAGGAAATGTTCAAAAATGTGAAACCTGAACAATGAGGTAAAAAAAAAGAGGAGAACTGCAGACCCATGTCATTAAATCTTTTCTGTTTTTCTCCGCTTGCGATTATCATTTTTTGCCAGAAAGAACTTTTTTGGAGCCAGAAACATGCAAAATTTCACAACTGTAACCAGTCGTTTAAAAAGTGTTCCCAATGAAAAAAAAAAACAGATGGAAATAATATAACTTCAGAACAAGAGCAGAAAAACACTCTAAGTTTTCTTTTCTTTTTCTTTCTTGCTTTCAAAAATATGATTCTAAATTAGTTAGAGGAGAACCAAAAGATCAAAAAATAAAAAATAAAAAAAAATTTTCGTTTTGCTTTAACAGAGCGTACTTACCTTCTCCTCCTCCCCTGTCCCGTTCAAAAAATTAAACCCCAAATTTTTATACCAACTTTATACTATTTGATGTCAAGTATAAAGCAAAAACTATTTTAGTGAAAAAGTGATTAAATTTTATTGATGTGTAAGTGGAAAAATGCAGTAAACCTGTTTGACAGTTTTACTTCCTTCTCTTATCTGTCCAAAGAACAGAAGACCATGGAAGGACACTGATGGACAGAACGCAAGATAGTCATCAGAAAAAGATGCTTGTTTTTCCTCGTAAAACAGTAAAAAAAAACAGAAATAAAAGACAGCTGTCTTATCATTTGTTGTTTTCTTCCACGTTTCATTTATTCCCTAAAAAGCTTAGAAAATAAATGAAGACAAGAGAGTTGCTAGAAAACTTTTGTTTCTTTTGATGCATAGAATAAAGTTGTAACTGAAATAACTAAACCAGACTGCTGCTTTGCAGAGTACTGCAGTGACTTTTTCAGAAAAAAAATAATCAAAATATATCAAATTTATCATCGGTCTATGATAAATACAGCTGCAGTTCATTGAAAAATTTTTAGACCAAGCTTGTTTTAAAGTCACAAATGAGGTCATTATTTAGTACCGACAGTTGAGAGAACTGTGCTTTTTCAAAAGCTATATATGCTCATTACACTTCTCTACCCCGCTTTGAAGTTGGCACCGAGTAACGGCACGAAGGATTCCGCTGTGATTTGGCTGATTCAAAATCATCATTACTTGAGTGAGCGTTGTCCAGGAATTTTTAAAGGATCAAGTTTGAAATAGAAAAAAAAAGTAGATTTTATATTCCTATTACCTCCATTGACAGTAGTACTCAAAAAAACACCAGTAATCTCGGCGAGTTACGATTATGCGGTCTAATGCTGTGAAATAGAGGAAACGTCAGCCTTCTCCTAGAAGCCGAATATTTAAACTTGAATAAACCAATAATCAGTTTTTACTCTGTGTTAAGAGCTTACAACGTACCGTTCCTCTCAGAATTTTTACATAGCCATAAAGGGTTAAGTCATATGATGCTCTGCAGATGAGCATCTGATGCTTGTCGGCTTTATCCAACAGGAGACATTTGTTTGACCGCGTGGTACAGCTTAAAGAATAAAAATTTGTCCTATACAGCTAAATTCTGGTTGAAATACAAGACTAAAGTCAAAAAACTTCACTGTTATCGAAGTGTAAACCGGAGCTGTCGGTATAAACGAGAGAGACCGAGAACAAGGACACTGTGTCGACAGATCGGGAAAGAATGTGATGGTAACCATGCGTAGAAATGTTGCCCGCAAAAGAATTCTTTCCTAAAACAAGAGATTTTTTGAAAATTCTTCCCAGTTCTTAGTGTTTATTAGTGATCTCCAACTGATCTCAAGCATGTAAAAAGAAAAAACTCTTACTGTTCTATAGTTGTATTTTTAAAATATAAAAGAAGCGTTCTTTTGAACTTCAAAATCATTTATTATCAAAAACTTTTCATGAAGTTTTACAACAAAACTAAATTTTGGATGTGGCACTCATTTGTATCGTTTGACGATGGCAATTTTCCAAAAATATTTTCCATCACAATCAACACGTTTTGTCTGTTTGACGGTGTCGATGTTTCTTCTTACTTTTTTTGTTTTTAAACTGTAATGGGATGCCAGAAACGTTTATCGCAAAACTGTTGAGTACCTTCTCAGAAGACAAAATTTTTCAGGGGTTCAAGGCTTTACCAAGTAACAAATATGAGCTGCTGTGGCCACTGGTAATTTTGCCATATCAAATAGCGTGAACAAGTTGTCCACAACTGCTGCTAAACGACACATAGAACCTTTTTTTGGAAAATACTCATCAGTAGCCGTCGACAAGGTGTTGCAAAGCAACGATTTACAGTTTTTACTTTAATAGTGATATCTTCGCACCGATAAACAAAGCAAAAAATTTTCTTCAATTTTTTCTTTTTTCTTAAAAGACGAAACAAAATAGCTTAGAAGTATTCTGCGTAGAAGTTTCTGTCTTGAGTGCTGGAATTAAAAAAAAGTAAGAAAAAAAAAACTCTGAGACTTGTAATCAGTAACATAGCTGAAACAGTAGCGAATATTTTGAAACTTTTAAACAGCAAAATTTCTGTTATTTTTTTAAAGTTAAAACAGTCGTCTTATATGTCTATTTTCAGATTTAACCTGTTTTATAAAAATCAATTTCAAAATTTAGTACCACCTGGTTTATAATTATTGAACGACGTATAGGAACAGAAAAAATTTTTTTTCTTTTTTCCACTTTTTTTTGTATTATGAATTAATTGCTCTGATAGGCTGTTTGTTATTTCCACTAACATTTGATGGTGAAAATTGTTGATACCGGTTACTTTTCAATTTTCTTTTTCAGTAACACTGCTGTCAGAAATATTATTTTTTCTTTCTAAAAGAAAAAATTACTAAACTGCCACCATCTGTTTTACGCTTCATAGGATGACATTGAGTGATACTGTGAATCATGGGAACTGACAAATTTCACTTGTTCTTTTTCTATAATAGTTAACTATTCTGTAGGTTTTAAAAGAAAGAAAGTTCAAATACGAAAATATTATATCTTCAAGAGTACCGTACAGCTTTATGTAGCAGTGGTACAATACTCAACATCTTACATAATTTTTGTCTCCTTTTTTTGTAAACCGTTATAGCTCAAAGAAAAAGGACTAGTGGTAAATTTTTTTTTCTGTATGCGATTCTTAACAGTTACACTTTGCCGGTTGTTTCGAGAGCATGACAGTTTTAGTGTTGAGTTCATATTCAAATAGTTGTTGAATATTGAAACAAAATAATCATATTTATTCCAGGTGTAAATACAGTTTTTTGTTGTGCAGGATTCAACTAAAATTTGGTAATGGTTCTTCAAATATTTGTTTTAGTAAATGTGCTCATCAAATTTTTGACAGCCTATTTGACCAAATTTATTTGTATTCTCATAATTGATTACCAGGCTAGTCATCTCCGATGAATAACCGAATAAACCTCTTTTTCTTAGTTTACT